AGGAGAATTTAAACAAGCTGATGACCAATCTACGAAGCACCCACCCACATTTTGTACGCTGCATCATTCCAAATGAAACCAAAACACCTGGTAAGACTCACATACAGAAGGTTTTCAATATGGTGCAGTTCTTTGCGTCTGTATTACAGAATATAGCTTATGTTTGTGCTCTGAATTGCCAGGTGCCATGGAGCATGAACTGGTGCTTCATCAGCTGCGGTGTAATGGCGTGCTGGAAGGAATCAGAATTTGCAGGAAAGGGTTTCCCAACAGAGTCCTGTATGCAGATTTTAAACAGAGGTCAGACTTCTTTCTCTTACTGGGTCATTTTTCTCCATTGGAGTAGCTTGTGAGACCTAAATATCAGCTCTAGTGAAAGCCTTCTCTAAAGTTTATGTTTAGCAGTGCTGTTATGTTCTCAACAGTTCTTAGACTGCTTGCAGTACCAGCTAGTTGGTCTCAACAACAGACTTCTTTATATTCAAGAACCACAGAAGCACTTAGGTGGGAAAAGACCCTTAAGATCATTGAGTCCAATGCAAATCCTTCCATTTTCTCCCCCAGATACAAAGTATTAAATGCAAGTGCTATCCCAGAGGGACAGTTCATTGACAGTAAGAAGGCTTGTGAGAAACTTCTTGGATCAATTGATATAGACCACACTCAATACAAATTTGGTCACACTAAGGTACAAGAACTGTTTGTTTCAAGTCCTATGTGTTTTTGCTTTGCATGGCTTGAGAATGATACTCAGGTTCTCTTGATAGTACCTGAAATTATCAAATAGTGTATTTAAAACAAATCAACTAAGTACTTACTGACTCAAAACTTGAATAAAACTAAAATTCATTGATGTAGGATGATTTAACTAAAGGTTCCTAATTTAAGACACAGTTGTATAATAAAAGAATCAACAGTTAATAAAAACAAAGTCAAAATGTCTGGCTATTATGGTTCCTCAACTACAGGTAACTGGATGCTTGGAGATATAAAAGGAGGTCTAACACTACACACATTCTTTGTGCTTCTGCTTTTTCTCCTGTCTTCCCATACTATCTGCCATGGGGACAGGGTATTGGGCTATTCTGAACAACAAGCACATACACTGCACTTATTTACCTGTTCTTACCCTAGGTGTTCTTCAAAGCTGGGCTGATAGGCCTCCTGGAGGAGATGAGGGATGAGAAGCTGG